TGCTTCATTTTTTCATTTGTATCTCATTACAGACAGAAACAAGAAAGTAGAAACCAGTTACTATTAAGCTGCCATACTATGTCTTTAGTCACTACCTCCATTTTGTTGGCTTCTCCCACTCTCCAGCACCTGGAGAGAAGCGTTCACTTCAGTAGAAATTATTTTTCCTGCTTTTGCATCTTTTTTCAAAGAAAATCCAAAAACTCAAGGCATTAGCTGGTGCAAAAAATAAGAAAAACGTCTATGAGAAAATTTCGAAAACCATTTTTGACCTTTCTTTTTGTTGCTCTTTGGGTTCAGTTTTGATTGTTAGAGAATTTCTTAGGTCCAGGATGGAACTTCTGGTCAATGCAGAGGTAGAATTTAAATCCATGTCCCCTACCTGGAGATTATGTGTTCCAGCCACCTACAAGGCAATGGCTAAATCTTCAGGGAATTATTCTCCATCCCTGCTTAAAAAGAGGTCAAATACTGAGATTTAACAAATCTGGACCTGAGGGGTCATGTGTGTGTGGGTGTCCCAGGGACCTTAAAATTTCTGAAAAAAAATCTTATTAAAACTTTTCAGTATGTTCTTGGTTCTACTAAGAACTTGTTTTTTTAAAACCAAGATCTCCCATTTCCTACTCAATCACCTAAAATCACAGAATCGTCAACCTAAGGCCTATGGGTAATACAAATATCTATGACAAAAGCACAGTGACCTGCCCTCGAGCTTTGGCAGAGCTGTGCAGACCATAATTCATAAATTGGATTTGACCCATTTCCCATCTTACGCAGCTGAAGAAAGATCAATAGGGATTGCTGGCAGTGAGACAGAGGGGATGTTTCTTTTATTTAGCTGTTTCCTAAATGGTAACAGATGTTCAGTGAAGGTAGGAAGAAAACAATTGTACTTCAGCAGTGGATTGCAGCAAATGCGATCCTCGCAAGGTGCATGGACTGATCATCAATTTAATGGGACCCATTTTAGAAAAATCCAAGGTCAGAAAGCACTCTTGGTTTGTAACAGGGTATTGCACTCATCTCCCTGACTGTACAGGAGGAAAGACCCCTGGCCCAGTAGGAAAATGCACAGAAAACTCTGATTATCCCCAGGGCAGCTTTCCTGGCACTGTATTAGAGCAAAAGAACGTTAGTGAACAAAAGCACCACTTGGCCTACAGAGCCCCAGATCCAAAGTCTACAAATCAAGACCCTTTTCAGCCTCCGATGCCTGCAAAGATGGAAATCAGTCCCTATGAGCCAGCCAGTTCCCTGCCCTGTGGTGGCATCGCTCTGTCCTACACTGGTACCCTGGGTCAGACCCGCCTCTCACCTCCAGTATTGGTCATACAATGGGAATACAGGAACAGTTGCCAGGAGACGTCTTGGGAAAAAGAAGGATGGGGCAAGCATACACAGCAGGCGATGCTTCGCCCAGCCGTCTCCCAGCTGTTGGGGCTTTTCAGCTCTGGAAGTTTCCTGAGCCTCGAATGGTTTCTCTGCTTGGCACCTCTCAACAGATCCCTCTTTTACAAGTATTTGTTCAGTCTCTCCTTGACTCCACCGAATGCAGGCATCCACCATTTCCTTTGAAGAGGGCTCACGCAGACTTGACTGAAGGGAGGCTGTCCTCCTGTGGAGGACATCAAGTTAAGAAGATCAGTACCTCATCTATTCTAAACAATTTTGAATTTCACTCTTCCCCAATGAAGAGCAATGATGAACAGTAAGTCACAGTCCTGTCTTCTCCACAAGGAGTCAGAGAGCAATGGCAGGAGAAAAGCCTCAGCTTCTTTACCAAAAACCTTTCTGCAGACCTAGAGACGTTTCTCTTTTCCCTGTACGACTCATAGCTTGGGATCCCTCTGCCCTGCATGTTTAAAGAAATCACAGATTTTTCAAGTGCACATTGGTGGGCCACACATCAAACGCACATTCCCAAAAATATTACCTAACCAGTCTTGCATAGTCTGGACTATCTGTGAGAAAAATATCTCTTATAATTTCACATTAAAAGAAATGCTAGGCCTCTCCAAATCTATTTTAGCCCATGCATACTAACTAGACATCCTAGGGCTATAAATACATTGCAGAGCAAGACAGGAAAAATAATTTAACCCTTATCCTGCACAGAATTGAATACTTGGAGGATTTGGAGGAGTAAAAAAAAAAAAAGAAATCAGCAGGGCTGTTCATCACTGGTTTATGACCAGGTAAAAACTTACATGCAACACTCAGCATGTAAGTTCCTGAAGTTGGAAAGATACTTTCAGTCACAAACAACAGTTCCCACTACTGGGACTAATAGAAAGAAATGTAAGAAGTGGTAAAATGTCTGTGAAGCCTTAATTCATAATGAACTCTAGTAGATAGCTAGCTGTAAGGAATCAGAAAAGCAGCTGAAAGAACAAGAGACTCGGAGCTGCTGGCAGGTGACCCAACAATTTCTAGCAGAAGTTGGTTACAACTCACAGAGTCATCTGCACGCCTCTTAACAAACACACGGGCAGAACACTTGCTGGCAAGTTCTCACAAAGTTTTAGGAGCCTAAATGTAATTGCAGAGAGCATGAAGCACAAAACATTTTCAAAATCCATAGGCTCCATACACTTTTAAGAGACAGTTCTCAGCTTTGCAAAGGCTGCAAGCAGCTCCCAGCTCTTGCTTAGTACAACCCTACCCCTGATCTCCCAGGAAAGTCCAGAATGACCACATTAGTCATAACTTCATAGACATGAAAAAAGGGTGCACCTTAGTTCAGCTCTGAAACTGAAGTTCATATAGAAGTTTTTCAAGATGCTTCTAACAGAGGCATGGAAATGAAAACCAAGTAGCCAGAAACAACTCTTGGAAAAATTTTCCCACCATTTCTCTCTCAAGAATAAGCATGTATTCATATTTTGTAGACAAAGCAAAACAGTCATTAGAACATTTCCATTCAAAAGGAAATAAACAACTTAACCATTTATTTGACTGCATTGTATTTAGACAGCTTGTACATTTCATAACCCCACTGTTTTTGTTCTCATCAAAAAGGATAAAGGGACAGAAGAATATAATCCACTCAAAACAGCAGTCCAGTATTTTGAGATACACTCAATATTTTCATAGATGCCCACCTGATACCTGAACTCCAATATAGGTTGTAATGTTTATACAAGACCTGAAATTTATTTAACATAGCACTCAGTTTTAGCAATGTCTTGCAGTGCCCTGAAAAATAGTTTGTGATGTACTATGCAACGCCAATTAGATTATGCCTACTTTTCTTGAAGGTGAGGAACCTGATCATTTCTTTAAAAACAATGTAATGCAAACATCCATACCGACATGTCAGCCAATAGCAACATTTGGGAAAATTTAAACATAAAAGCAATCAACTCCTTAATTAGATTTGTCAATGCAAAAGGTGAGGAGGCGAGGACTGTGTTTTAGCAACAGTGAGAAATTACCAACTTTTCATTGCTAGGTTTCTTTTGAAAACCTGTTTTCATCTCTTTGCAAATTCAGAAATTCCCACTTGATACCCGAATCCCAAGCAACAGAGAGAACAAATCTGTTTCTTTTAATACAAACCAACACATACAGCTTCAGTATCTTCTGTAGTAAACTGTGTGTTACACAGCAGCAATATCAGAACCTTTCAGGCAACGTGCTCTTTTAAAAGAAATGTGCACCTATTTTGCGCAGTATTTTCAAACGTGCATGGCGACAATTCCTTCTTACAATAAACAAACAGAATTGTATTTGAAGTTTGTTCAGAAGCGATGTTTTTGGCAGTGCCTTCGTGAAAAGTGATTTCAGCTAACTCCTAAGTCGGCTTTTGAATCTGAAGACACCCACGGCTTAAATATTAGCCAATAGAAAACTTGCCTGTCTGGCTTTTCAGTTTTTAAACATCAGCAGACACACAAGACAACCTAGTTTGCAGTTTGCGATACAAGTCCAACAGCTATTAACAAGGTACAAAACCTCCCCGATCTGTCTCCTTAGTTCAAGCAAGCCAGAGCAGTCACTACATCCCGGACCACTGGAAAACGGGTGAGAGAAATCTGTTTCGATTGATTTAACATTACCAACATTTAAGTCTTAACTATGAACGAAAACTCCGGAACAGCCGCCCAGAACAACTGGCAAACCTGGGGAATGGGGATAATGTGAATAAAAGCTTTTATCATGTCACAAGGTAGTAGTGGCAACACGCAGGCTTTACGTTGAACTCCTCCATGTTCTGTGAATAACAGACTCGGGCACCATTTTAAATATGAGTTTTCTTTACCAAGGGGGACAAACCCCCTCAAAAGCACAAATGGTGTCTACAAGCAGAAAACTCAGAAGGGCCAATTTCCATTAAAAATCTTTATTTTCAAATACAACTCATAATTTGTACATGGTAAGAAATGTCCATCACCATGTGCGATTGGTCTGTGCAAAATAAGGCTTTCCTTTAAATCCAGTTTTCCTGCACAGGGCTCTTTTCCAAATGTTACTGGAGGTAGGGGGTTTGTTGGTTTTGTTTTTAAATGTACAGTAATTAGCAAGAAAAACCCATGACTCAAACCAAACCTTAAAAAAAAAAAAAAGTGTAGTAAGGCAAATCTGAAGAGTACGCTCAACTACAGAAGAGCAGATTCACTGAGAGTTCATCCTTTTCACAGATTACATAGGTTCTTCCACGAGTCAACTAATTCCTTGTTTTCCAAAGTGGAAAAAACCCCAACTGATTCATAGAACTGGGCTGTATAATCACACTGAACAAGAAAGCCTAGACACTGTAATTACTGAAAAAATTCATGGGTATTGGTAAAACCTATGTAAGCCAAATTAAAGGAAGGGGGGGGTGGGGCAGAGAGAGAAAAAAAAGAGCAAGAGCAAATGTGCAAAAGAGAGAGAGAGAGAAAGAGAGAGAGAAGTCCTTCCCTGCTGCTTTGATTTGGGAGGGAAAAAATCCCCCAATAATTTAGCTCACGTAACTTTAGAGGAAATGAGAGCAGCTAAAAATTGATACAATACATCTTGAAATTTATTTCCAAGACCAAGAACCAAAGATTGAAGTATTTTAGAACACTGAAGCAAAGCCATCTGAATCTGAAGAAAAATTGTTCCAACTATCTTAAAATATCTTTTTCAGAGCTTCTAGCAATAATTTTGATTAAATAAAATCATACCAATTTACATTAATTTTCTATATCTTCTTTTAAATGTCCCTCACTCTTTTAATGAAAAAAGTGCATCCAAAACCAGCAGAGATTTACTGGTGACATCAGGTTCTCTTTTAGCAGCTACTCAAGGTTTTCAAAATAGCTTACACTTCTTGCAATAAGAAAAGGAGGGCATTCCAAACCCTCGTTTGGGAGAAGTATCCAAATTATAAAAATCTGAAATAATTTATTATCAAATCCAGAATTTAAATAAAAGCAGAAATTTTCTTGCAAAGACAATTGAAGAAAGTAAAAGAATAAAAGCATGCACTCCAAACTTAGAGGTGAAGACAAATATACTTATCTATACAGGCACTGGCAGACGCAATTTAATTGTTACTGTTACTCATTGTAACACACACCCCACCCTACAATACATTTTTTCATTCACTAATCACTGAGGTACCAATATTTAAGAATGGAAAATTCAATATTGAAAAATAAAACCTAAAATTGAAGCCTTTTTCCAGAAAACTATGGCAATTTTTGTATGAAATGTTAGTATACTTATAGAATTTTACAATCTACATTGGCTTTTTTTCTGGAACCAAAAGTTGCGTTCCACATACAGGTTCTTTGATAAAATGTTCACTGTGTATGTAATACAGTCAGTAGACTTGCAAATGAATGAACATATCTTGGCTATCAACTGGCACATCTTGCTGGTACCAAAAGAACTCCAAGTTTGAAACAATCGGTTTTAATTCTGAACAAATGCGCCATGCCAAAGTGCAACGAATATGTGCGACACTCAATGAGACACTGACAGATTAAGAGCTGCATGGAAATTACTAAGTCCACCTGCAAAGCAATTTTGTACAAATTGCATTGCATGCAAAGGACAACTCTGCGCTGTTGGGACGTCAGTTGCTTGATGTGAAGGTTTCTTTTAACGCAGCCATAGTTTAAGACGCAGTGCATCAACTCCATTTAAATAGTATCTGAACAGCCTCTTGTCTCGCACAAAACCAAGGTTTTCATAAAGTTTCAAAGCAGACTTATTTGTGATTTCTGTTTCCAATACAACCTTTAAGGAGAAAAAAAAAAAGAAAAAGGAATATCATATTAGAAAGCAGTTGCAATTACATGACTACTGAACCAGTTTCAAAGTTCTTATTTAAAGGTACACTTATTAGCAATGAGAGGAATTCATTTTTTCTTGTCTTGACTTGAATTCAAGCAACCCCCCCCAATTCCCACATTAAAAAAACCAACCTAGCAGTTAATCAACAATTGTCATTGTAAGCAGGTTTCATTCATATCAAGATTTTACTACTTTACTGTAAATAGTATTTGAACTCATTACCTAATAGCTAGGGTTAAAAAAAAAAACAAAAAAAACCAACCACCCACACAAAAAAACCCAAGCAAACAACAACCCCTGCCTCCCAACACAACACCATCCCCCCAGTGCCCCCCCAAAAAATCAAACCAAAACAAACCTACCAAACAGGTCAGAGTCTAAAACATACTTTGAATTTTGAATGAGCAACTGAACTTCTGCATGTCAGAAGACCTTGGCACATGAGGTTTTGTTTAGTCATTTAATATCTTTGACCTCTAATGCAGTAGATTTAGACCTAGATACAAGCTTCAGCATTCTACGACTAGCTGTCAGACCCAAATATTTGTGCTCAACACAAGTATCCCGAACTCAAATCGGAGTGCACACCAGGAAAAAAGAGCAGCTTTTTCCATCTTTTTCCCCCTGTGTCGATAAGATCCCAGTTGCAGGAAGACCTGTCACAAATAGCTCACCAAACCCAAGTGTAAGAGTAGTCCAAATTAAGCAGAGACTCAAAATTATCCTGAAGTTTCAAGTACAGGCAAAACACTACACTGGCATTAACAAGAAATTAAACACAAAACTGAAGTATGTCCCTCTGAACTGTTTTCCCCTCTTTTCCCCAAATGCACTGAGCAGAGCTCTGGCATACCCGGTAAGCTGTGCACCCACTCCAAAAAAACTTGTTTTGCCTCTTTACTGTTGTCCAATTCAATTATTTAAGGATTCTGCTAATAAGGATAGATCATGGTTGCACAAGAACACAAGCTGAACTAATAAGCTGACTAGTCTACGTGCAGTCCCATGACAACGTACATTCACATATTAAACTAGAGCCGATGGACACTGTAGAAAGACCATATAATGAAAATACAGCCTAAGCAATTTCTGCAGCAAACCAGTGATCACTGCTAGTGTTAAGTCCACTAACGGCTATTTCTAAACCAGCATTTGATTCTCACCCTGTGTAGTTAGAACCATATACATAAAACTCCCTTAAGTCCAAAAAAAGTCATCTACCCCAACTCAAACCGAGGACTCCCTTCTCTTCCAATAAAAAGCAGCAAAACTAGTTAACATTCCCTGCCCAAAACAGGAACAAAATATTAGCTTGTATTTGTAGAGTAGTTTAAGTCAATCTACTTTATGGACACTGTGGCCCCACTGCCTTCAGGCTTGCATTTCCATTCTCCCTCACCTCTTCTGCAAGCTCAGTAGGGTTGTTGCTGAGCTACTTCAAAAAGCAGCCTAGTAGGAAACATTTCCTTTTTCTCTCTGTTTTCTGCAGTCTGAGGAGTGGCTAAGCCAATGTAAAAGAGGGAGGCAGCCAGCAGTTAGATCGGTCACTTTCAATAATATTTTAAAATCCATTTAATATATGTGTTTGACCATTACTCAAGTTTCAAGATACTCTAACCACATTCCAATGGATAATAAACCCTGCACTTCTCAGTGTAAGACCGTTGAAAGAATAGCAAACCTGGGGCTAACAACCCAACGAACAACCTAAGACTTAGAAGTTGTTAATTTTCTGAAAAGGAATTAAGAGTCATACATTAAAATATTAATAGTCAGAGTTCTTAAACAGCAGGACAATCTGTTGTACCTGCACACTCAAGACAACCTAATTCAATTCTTAGTGTTGTGGCAAGAATTAGAGATCAAATTTCTCTAGCTGGCACCTCATAGAATACTACTATCAAGTCTTGTGACTTGATCAAGTACTCTTAACATCCTAAATCCATTAAAATGGATAACTATTAATTTATAAAAAATTATGGAAGCACAAGTTTTCCTGAAGAGTGCTATTTTCTACGCAATAATGTGCATTGTACAATTAAAACAAAGCATTACGCCAAAGAGGAAACCTGACCTATGTAAATCCACACTGCAGGAGACTATTATTTGAACTCAAGCTACAAATGGCATTCACTCTCATAGAAGTTTAGTAACCTGGCAGAGTGATATAACAAGTCTGTATTCAACTGCAAGCTCACATATCTTGCAATGCTAAAAGACTTCCAACACTGCAGATCATTGAATTTAAGGGAGTGGTTAAATGTTGAAATTCAGGTTTGTTGGAATCCCACCAGCTGAATGAGTGCTCATCTTGAAAGCAAATGCAAGAGATTTGCTCTGGTATTTCCAAGGAATACTGAGCACAATGAAAAATAATACCCTGATCTCAACATATCACGTTCATCTCAAAGAGATAAAGACATGTTTCTATTATCTAAAAAGGAAACACAGTTATATTGTATCCAAATGTCATTACCTTCGTTTTGTGAAGGATTAATCTCTTCCTGTGTGAGATTTTCAATCAAGCTCCAAACCTTCAATCATTACATTTATTTCTGGTCTTATAGAGTCTATTTTTTTGCACACATATGCCTGTTAAATCCTCTAATAACACTAACGCAGCCTCCTCTGGAGGCCAGCAAAGGTCCGATTGGATTTGACAGCATTTTCTGCACAAGTTGCAACTTTCTGAAGGCTGTTACTTTCTCTTATGTCTTAAATTTCATAAATCTCACATTTTATATCAACTGTCTAATTTTAACTGGGTTTAGAAGCAAGGAATGTTCTATGAGAGCGGAGTGCAATGTTTCTTGTTACTACATTTTAATATCTAGAATTTATTCCTAAACTGAAGAAGAATGTAGAGGTCAAGCCTTCTCGCTTTTTCAGTCCAGACTCTGAACAAACTTAAGTTTAGAAACCAAGTCATAGAATGAATACAGCCAAATCAAATAAGCAAGTGAAAGAACGTACTCTCTCAGCACTCACAGAAGAGGTTGCTATTCTTACTTGTAAGTTTGGCATATCATCATACTCAAGTTATGGGCGCTTGTCCAATATCCTTTATCAGTTTAGCTGCCTTGACTTTCAAATAAAGGTAGCACCCAAGGTATAACACCTAATACCTTAGATGATTTGTAGATTAAGAAAAAGCTAAGTCGTCAATGGTTTGATAATTTCAAATAGGATTATATAAAGATATGCATTCAATTTTTACAAGTGTAGTATTGAACTAAAAGGACACACCTGCTGGTGTGGTCAAAAAAACACACTTAAAATTATCCTAAAGTTTCAATGGAAATTCTCATGAGAAGTTGCTATTCCTTTCATTTTACTTAAAAAAAAAAAAGCTCTTAGAAGTCCTACTTACTAGAGTCTTATTTTGATTAGTTACCAGTTACATGGTACATTATTTCAGTAATACAAGTTGAATGAATTGTATGCAGATTACTTACAGTCATTTGTTACAGATGGAAAACCTAAATATGAATGAAAAACTACTCCTTTCCAATTGTGATTAAGGGATGTAACAGTTCCACATGAAGGTCTAAAGTAGCACAATTTTTAAAAATTGCTTGTCAGTAAAAACTAAGCAAATGTACAAAAAACAGCAAGACACCAACTTGCTGGAGTCATCCCATACTTTCCTTTTTTAGACTGGAAGAAAAATCTCTTAAAAACTCTGTAGATGGGAGCAAAGCTATTCACCTTCACCTGATTTATCTCCATAGTTCACATTTTCTATGCAACCAGCCCATAAAGTTATTCTACATCATTGTGACCTATTGGAAACACAGGCCCATTATAATCTTGGAAACCTTCAGTTCACTACCCCAAATATTAGAATTCATTAACATCAAATGCCTGAGAAAGTAACCAAGATAAAAACAAACAAACAAAAAATCAAAAGATCTCTCAAGTTTTGTAATGTTATATCCCGCCACCCCAGCTCAAAGCATGCTGTTGAGTACTTTCTTCAGGCTTGAAGGTTATTTCTAGTTCAATCACCCACCCCCAATATCAGATCACTTCCCTCGTTTCTATTCTAATGTAGGCCACAGCCAGCTCCTCCCCTCCACACAGATTCCATTCCAGCCAATTCACTTCTTCCCTTACTCACCCCACAACTTCCTCAAGCTGGGAAACAACCTCTAGCTGGAAGAATATTCCCCCTCTTTGAAGCATGGCATATAGCATAAACTACCTTTTAGGCAGCTGGCTGACCACAGAAGCTTGCATTGTAAATCACTTGTTCCATAGCTTGGCTTAGTTTATTCCCACTAAATTAGCTTACAGGAAAAAAATTCCTTAATTACGAAACTATTGCAGCATACTTTTAAACGCCAGCACATCTGTAGTGATTTTTCAAGATTTTCATCTATAGTGTTGTACAAATCCTTTATTTTTCAGGACTCAATGTTGATACTTCAAAAGTCCAATCTTTGGAAAGTAATACACTGAATGAAACATTTATCGGATTATATGCCACAAATTACTACGATTAAGTACATTTACTTTATCTACTACATAATTAGATTGAAGGTAAGAGTTTCCAAGCAGCCTTTGGAAATTTTTCGTGATACCCACAGCTGCATATTCATGTTTTTAATCCTATTCCAAGCAAGTTTCAGAAAACAGCCTTTTTTTGAATAGTAGTTCATCTTACATCAAGTAGCAGCATCTTTTTATTTTCATCATGCTTCTGATTTTATTAAGGGATGTAGAAAAATATCTTAAGAGCAGCAGAGATAATTAAACTATATACACACCTCACAAAGACAAATTACTGTGATGCACTACTTCACGTTTGATCAGCTCTAGGCATCAATTAGACAGCCAGAAACCGTTCTCCCAACAACTGTTATAAAAACTGGTGAGGGCAAGCGTCTTGGCTCTGTCAGACAGAGCTTTTAGTGGGTGGCTAGTTGGATTTTTCAGATTCTGGTCATGACTGAAAACTCAGCAATCCATCATGTCGTACAAATAACGAACATTATTATTTTGTGCCATGAATATCTGGAAGAAGCCTACACTTGGTGGCAAAGAAAAGAAGAAAACATTGGCTATTTGGCAGTATGTGAAAAGGAATAACATAAATATATCAAATCAGTGTGGATATGACTCTGCTGACCAGTGTAAAAAGTCAGAAATACACTCTGCTTGCGTTCCATGTTGCCCAGGCATAATGAGCTTCCATTTCAAAATTCTCCGCCAGCACAAGACTCAGCTGATGCAAAAGCCCCCAAGAAACAGGGCATCATTAGTTCAGAATCATCATCCCACAAACACTGTTACACAGTTTCCCAACTGGAACTGTAACATGCCTGCACCTGTCCAGCACACACTTCAAGGAGCTCGAATTGTGTCACCTTCGACTAGAGGGACAGCAATAGACTCTGAAAATGCCCTCTGCACTTAGTACAAAGCATTTATACGGCACCATAAATGAAAATCTGTGACTAAGAATTAATGATGTCTCACTGCAGACTAGCCTGCAATCCTTATCACATTTATTTCATTTTTACAAGGATAAAAAAAACCCAGTAAGACGACTCTTGGACTAATATTACAGTGGCAGAAAAAAGAAAGACACGGGCAAAATCATTATGTATATACCTGTTAGATAGTCCAATTTAGAAATGAAGTTACATGAGTAGTAGTACACATACACTCATAAATCATATAGTAACTACTGCAACTCTGGTAGCTTGAGTAGAAATAGCTAGTTCTACCACTGACACTCTAACAGCAGACAGTTCACTTCTCTGCATCTCAGTTCCCCAACTGTGATGTCAACAGTTGTGATAACATTCTTCAATTATTTTAATTTTTTTTAAATTTTGAATACTCTAGCAATGGCAAAAGAATTTAAGACCTTAGCGGAAAGCAATGGAAAAACCAAAGAAACAAAAAAACTTTTCTCGATTAGTTCAGTGTAGCAAGTAGTGAAACAGATTAGAGCAAAGCGTATTACATATGATGATAGAAGCAACAAGCCAAAACACAGAACTTAAAAGAATTACAGAACTATCAGATTGCACTACACTGCCCGAGTACAATGTAAATTATGGGGGGCGGGGAAGAGACAGCAGTAAGCAGAGGCATGAAAGAATATGAAAGGAAGAATAAATATCTCAAACAATGAATGAAGTCTGAACATATGCAAGGATGCTGCAAGAGGCATAACACAAGTGGAAAAATAAACAGAGTATGTGCCAGAAATCCTGTAACAAAAACTGTAGTTTTGCATAAGAAACTTCATCACACCACAGTAGGACAATTGAGGGAGCAGTTGAAACGAGATAACAGAGAGATCAAAGGATCATTAACTGTGACACACTGAAATGACACAGTGCTCAGGTATCAGGAACAAAGCTAACAGCTGCATTGTACCAAGCAGAAGAAAGTTAAAGAGGCAGATAACCGGATTGGGGAGGACGGTTATAGGGAGGAGTTCCTCACAAGTTACAGGTAACACATAAACATAGATAGTTGCTTTATAAATACACAAAAAACCCCCAAGCCAAACCCCAAACCAGGGACTGTAATCTGGTAGAAGGAAAGACTGATAACATCTAGGCCAGAGAAAGTCTGACAGTGATTCAGTCACTTCCAAGTTTTTGTTGACGTGCTAAATCATGAGAGTTCTGTCAGTACTACGTAACATAGCTATGCACTGTCAGAATAGCCTGACTACTTCTTGTGATAAAACCATATTCTGCAATACTACAGCACATGTTGTTCCAATATCTCTGTGTATTCTGAAAGTACAGAAGTATTACACACAACATGCAAGTTATACTGGTCAGTAGCACCTTAAATAGAGTCCTTGGAGGAAAATGTGCGGGCGACTGACGGCTGAGGCAGCTTCACAAAGTAAAACAAAACCTGAAATACTGAATTTAAGCCCCTATGACAAATTTAGAAAATCCTTCTCCTATTTGTGCCATATGTTTTTCAGAGGTTATTTTTCCTTTTTTTATAAAAAGAATAGCTTTTTACCAACCCACTCCCCACATAAAAAAAGTCCTGTAGAAGAAAAAACTGTGAAATGAACCCACATATAGGAGAATGCAAGCCATTTACATTATGAAAGTTTTTGATTATAAAATCTTACCTCATCACAATCTCCTTCAACCATAGCATAAATAGCTTTCTTAACCAAGTTTGTACCTGAAATATAGATTTTGGTAAGTGTCAGAGTTGCAATGCAAAAGATGCTAGTTAATATATGACTATCATGGGTGCTACCTACATGACATGACACCCAGGCAAAGCAGGGAGGAAAGAAAGAAAGGAAGAAAGAAAGAAAGAAAGAAAGAAGAGGTTGCAGTCAAGTCGCAGTCTCAAGCTTGAACATTAAAATAATCCATAAAGTTATCCAGAGACTCAGCTTGAGCGCAAGATTCTTCTAACACAAGGATATTAGAAACAGGCTTCTATGTTTAACATAGTGTTATATATAGCTTTCCAAGATGTGATTCATTCCTTTTTGTTGCATTTAAAGTCAAAATCTGCTGGCGCGTACTTGAAGGACATTCATCTTCCAAGGGAATTTCCTCTTACTAAAACAAATACTTCTATTAGTAACAGAACTTACAAAACCACTTTTCTTGTGGCTCACTCCCATTTGGATTTGCTAGTATCTAATACTATGGTTGAAGCCCATCCCTTCCCCTCAATCAAGCATTAATTTAATTCTTTATCATTATTTTTCATCTATTTCACAACAGTGCTACAAATGTAATATCCCTACCTGTCTGTAGAATTGGGGTGAAATTGAAAGTTGATTTCAAAGTTATTAGTGGAAAAAACTGCTGTTCAATGAAATTGCATAAATCTCACTTCCATAAGAAGGCTAAGGAAAAGGAAAAAAAACCCCAAGGAATCTAGAGAATGTTTTAAATTATTCTCAAAACTTTAATCAATTAAGATTTTCATTGAACGTATGACAAAACTGTACTACATTGAAAACAAATTTTCAGATTAACAGCATACTTTGAGAAACAGCAAGGTGACAAGTACAGGAAAAAGTCAACATACATAATGCTAAAGTAAGCAACACTTTAAATATAAATTCTACTTATATAATTCTAAAAGAATAAATTGACTAAAGCAAGGGAAAAATCTTGCAGCGATCTTCATAACAGCAGCATTAGTTCTTATTTACTCATAAATCCAAGCACCTGCAATTAAATTATGGCAGGGTCCTTCATGACTCAGCTAAAAGGAAAGGAGAGACAGTGATTTCTCAGTATCCTCTTCCCTCTGCTCCACTACAGAAACCAACAATGGCTTCAGAATTGCACTGAAGAAAAAAAAAAATCCACACATGCTTGAATAGTCATGATAATATGTAGTGTTTCAAGGGTTTTTTTTGAAGTTTTTGGGGGGGGTTTCGGGGGGTGTTTGTTTTTTTTTTTTAAGATGAGAACACACACAGTGGTCCCATTCTGCAATGTATCACCGTATTTTTCCATTGCAAGTTAATTTTCAGTCTTTAATGACAATAGTATGAGCTGTTCAGTGTGAATACATGGTGAAGCACATTTCTGGTCTTTAAAGGTGTTGTCTACATTTTAAGTTAAAAATGTTGCAAAATGTGATTTCATAATAACCAATACAAAAAAATTAAGTTCCATAAGAACAGACCTTTAATTAAGCCATCTAGGATAACTGGTGTTAGAATGCAAATCCCTTCATCAGGGCAAAACTGATGAACAAGGAAAGGCAAACTCCCTGCCAAGAATGATTTCTTTTATCATGTAACTTCCCCAAAAAACAGATCTGTGTCAGTCATTCAAGCAGCAACACACAACTATTTTTCTTCACTTATTAATACAACAATGAACTACATACATTCTCCCCAATGGGCAGTATATGCATAATTGATAGGGGAAAGCCAAGGGATAAGTTCATTGAAAAAAGACAGACCAAATAGAACATAGAAATACAGTGATGAGGGTTCCTGCTGTTGTTACTTGACAGTGGTAATAGGCAGAGGCAAGGGGCTGCTGACAGCCTTTCTTTTTAGCTTTATCAGTATCTCAGAGGTAAGTCTCATAGGGCATTCCAGGGTATTTTAACAAAATTTAAAAAAGCCACTGGGGAGCTTGTGTGGTCAAGTAAGGTGGGGATGACAGACAACCACCACATCTAGAAGTTCATTTCTGCTTAAATCTTTATGACAGCTACAGTTATCCCAACTACAGGATTTAAGTAAGAAATAACAAAAAAGGCTATTCTTACCAATTCCTTTTCTTCTGTATTTGGAATCCACTGCTAACATGGCTATATAACCTCTGCGGAACATCTTTTTGTGCATATCCAGCTTGCAGACGATGGCACCTACACACTCCTCACCTACCATGGCCTTAAAGACAAACATACACGTATGCATTCTCAGTTTGTGATCTACAGTGCTACCAAAAGTAGTAAACCAGTTCATTTTAAGTGAAACAGCCACACAAAATTTGTTTGCATAAAGCCAGAAAAAAAAAATTTAAAAGGTCTCCAAAAGTATAAATAAGAGTAAAGAACTCTTTTTTCTTTATTACATTCAAATAAAGTTACAGTTAATTAACAAACAATGAATTGTCCTGGAGAGAACCACAGAAGTCTACAGGCAAAACCACATGTGATAGAAAAGGGAAGAAAAAAAACCCCAAACCCAACCGCCTCCCCTCCGACCAGGTTAAGGCATAAATCACCCTTTCACATGGGCTGCAGTAGCAGCACAAAGTCCATTCCTGTTGTATAGCGATCTGAATTTTCATGTACAAGGGCTGTGGTAGATAACATGCTTAATTTTTGGCTGGTTTTAATGTCAAGGCCACAATGGATCAGAGAAAAATGTTGCTGTGTTTAATCTTTAGAAACCGTCATTTTCAGTCATATGACACCCGAAGAACAAACAAAAAAGCACACAGTTAATTCTACACATTTTAACAAATGAAATCTCTGAACAGTTAGGAGCTATGCACTGACAGTTAATCCCAATGGTATTGTCACAAAAAGGGTGGTCAAGGACATGTAGCTATTCTGCAATATTAAGAAAAAAACCCAAAACCAAATCCTCCCCAAACACTTATCAAGCCACTTGCACAACCACTGTGTCCACCAAAATTTTACCATCAAATATATTAGAGAAAGCACGTAAAAAACCTAAGTCATATGTTAACTGAAGGATTAGGCAACATGAGGGATTAACGACATTATAACCTGCAGCAGTAAAACTGAATAAAGCTGCAAAGTAGGATAGCATCCAAGCAGAGAATGAATTACTATTCATTCAGGAAAGACTGACAGAGATAAAAAAGAAACTCATAATTGTACATAGGGGTGTATAAGTGGATCCACAGACTTTGATAGACCTGTATCTGCAGGGGGGAACTAGCCTTCAGCTCAAGTGTAGCAACTAAACCTGGACTACAGCACATGATTGGCACACGCATGTGCTGGCACAGGCGCTTCTGGATAATCCAAATTTACAACAGTAAGACAAGTCAAATAAAAAGGACTTGCCAGAGCCAGTATTGCCAGGCCTCAGCGCAGCCCACCTGTGAGCCCCACACTCGCTTCTCCAAAGTCTACTGTATATACCCTATCATCTCCAATCACCTGAACCTTTTTGTACATGGCTTGTAGGGCAAGACTACAGACAGGAGATTCATTCATGCAGATCATATTGCAGGCACAGACTCACTGTTTTTTCGCCCCAAGAACAATAATGTCTTCTAGCATCTCTACCTGGATGGTGCGTTATTAACCCAGTTAGCTGTCAACTAGGAGCTGTATCAAAGGTGAAATGAAGCAGCCCAAGATGTATGAGCTGCAGTTCCAAAGCTCTATGATACAGCGTGATCCTAACACCGTTTCTAAATAGTTTAAGCTTATCAGGCAACTATAATTATTGCTAAGTTTTTATGTGTCAGGAAAACACATTTTTTTAGCAGTATCCAAGAACAACCCTGAATGATCTAAACAACTGTTTTTTAAAACAAAAACTGTAGCGTGATCTAAATGGACTGAAGTACACAGCCTCTAAGCGTATTTCACTTGTTCTAAAACACGATTTACTCCATAGAAAGAAAACCTGTACTTATATTAAAACTGTGTACGCAAAGTGTCAGCTCAAGGCAAGTTTCATATCTCGGTTCAGACCTGAGAAAACCAGGGAGTTAAATAAAGAGTATCATCAGACAGACTGTTCATAACATTGCTATAATTATGCAGAGTACCTAGATGTAATCTTATACCTCACTAAAAAAAAAAGCACACCACAAACTAGCATGTTATAGTTATGCTTTGCCCTGAAGTGAACACGTGCAAATTGTTGATTGTAACAGTCATGCAGAGACTTTAAGATTTTTTTTTTTTTTTTTTTTTTTTAAAAACCACACTTCAAGAGTAGTGACATTCTAGACATTGCATATCTGTGTTCGTTCTTTTTCAGGGCACTTTTCAGAAACATGAATCGTATATTTAAAACACTAGATGAACAGAAAAGAATTTTGTTTCAGTGATCAAAGAAGTAAATACCCACTGGTTTTACCACTGTTGCCAGAGAGCTGAATAAAGTATGACTTTGTTACCAGTTCTCCAAACACTTAAATCTATTTCTCTGTCTTTAGGCAGGTAAGTCTGCCAGTTAATCTACAGCTGTGCCACTTACAGAGGGAGTGCTGCATTTTCACCTCAATTTGAGTTTTTTTTGCTGCCTTTACTGTCCTTTCTCCTTCTCTGCAACCCTACCTAAAGCTGGAAATGAATCTGAAATATGATGTAAAACTTTGTAATTTAATTCCCTGGAGAAGGTTAAACTGCGTAATTAAAAAACAAAACAAAACAGACTTAAATAGGGAGAGTGGGAAGGAGAGAGGGAAAAGCAGTTCCCACACAACACCATTTATGAAAAAATAATCATGGGCCAAATTTTCTTTTCAGGTATATGAGAGTACTTCTAAACATACAAGTTTCAGCAAAAAGAATTCAGACCAATTTGCTATTATATATTATAAACCCCACACAGTACTGTAAGATTTACTGCAATCCTAAGTCATTAGCAGGATTAACGTACATGAATTCAAATCCAATATTTGCATCAACTTTCTTCTTATGAACAAGTTTAAATGTTTAAAACAAACTAGATTTTAGTATCTCTGTATTGCAACCATATATTACTAGAAGAGTTAGCACAGAAATTTCTGTAAATCAGCAAGAACATTACTTTTCACAAAATTAAACAATTGACATTAATATCATTAGCAAAGATGGCATTAAGTCCGTCAGCCACAGTCTGAGTATGCATTTCATACCCAGATCCTGTGACATTTGTTCCCATTTATACAAGATTAAAACAACCAACTAGCCCCTGAAAGAGAACTATTTTGCGATTCAAATGCAGAACTTACACTACTGCAATACAGTTTCCCTTTCGCACATGCACCAAAACCCATCCCAAAGTATCACAGAAACAGCTCTGTATGAACTTTCTGGCTTATATTTAGCGATCGTGTTACTGAATGCCATTAGAGGATACATTCAGCCTAATGGTTTTAACCTAAAGTCTGGCAGTTCAGTCAGAGCTCTCTATGATACAGGGCAAATCACTAAGTCACGCTGTTTCTACTGTGTTAAACTGGACACAAGTAATTCCCTCCTGTGCAAGGGCATTGCCAGAACAACTATACTAGCTGTTGTTACGTACTCAGATGCTGCAATGACTGAAGTTTTCACAAAGCCTCTGACAGTGAGAAGTGGCACAGCAAGCCTGTACCTAAAACCACGATCATTCCTAAGAGGAAACTGGAATACACACAGAGTTTGCAAATTGGGAATGGATGTTATAGAATTTCTTCCTACGTCTGCCATGAGGCTAGGAAGACTTCCCAGACAGTTTCCCAACTTTTCTGGTTCTTCTTTTATGCCCGAACCAAAAATGGGGATGATGCCTTACAAGTCTTAATTTCAACATGAAGTACGTTTAGACTCTTGAATAAAATCCAATTAAAAAAAAAAAAAGGCAAAGCATTAATATAAAACAAGGTCTTAACTACAGTCATTTTGGATTTACAACACATCTAAAACCACTTACATGGAATTAATAGGTTATTTTTAAGCTTGTGAAAGTTTAAATTATAAATGCTGCTATAGCTAGTGGCAAAGTTAAGATCCCAATAAAAGCACAGATTTTCCAGATTTTTTTGTAAAAGACAGCTGAATGGTGCAGTATTGTGAATTACAGGAGAGGTTACAACACTCAGCCAGAACTCTGCTTTTATTACATCCTGTCTTATCCAAACTTTGGCAGAGAGCAAGGTTTCCTAAGCTTACCTCCCCACGCTGAAGTATTTTGAAAACAATTTTCTGAAGTCTTTAATGTATCAGTTCTAAATGGAAGTTTTAGAACTTAGCAGAACACTGCTAAGACTAGAAGCAGCAACACACTTTAAAAGGAAGCTACAACTTTGAAAATGCATTTACCATCCATATGGGGACAAAACTGTAGCGATGCTTAAAAATGCTTCCCATGAAACAAAAAATAGCCGTTTCCTCTGATTTTTTGACAGAGGAGTGGTTATCATAAGTCATTTGAAGAGCAATTAGGCTGACGGAGCTCCTGGGAATAAGTAAAAATCAGGCACTTACAAGGCATCCACACCTAGCGCACAGTGCAAACCTGCACTTACAAAGACAGATGACACCTAAGTTCAAGCAGACAGTTGCAGTTTATTGAAGGAGAAGGTTATTACCTTGCAACAGCTCAGTCAGATAATGCTGCAGTGTAACACGTCAGAACTGATCATCAAGTATTCCCAACTTGTTACCCCTAAAGTCAGGAAGACAGTTACACAGATGAATGTGACATTAAAATGAAGAGGTTCTGAAGAGTCCTAGTATCTCCAGGTCCTTTTAAAGTGGAATGAGAACTTCTTTTTTTGAGCATACAGTTAGGAAGTGGTTTGATACAGCAAAACCATGCTAGTGACTAGTTAGGATTGGTCCCATGCTTTCCCTCCAGCTCTTCATTCTTACCTCTTCCCTTGCACCTACACCAGTGCCTGTGACATCTTACTATGAATACGTTTGGAGCCTTAAACCAACAGAAACTTGACCCTAAAGCACATACACACACACACTTATGAATATATGGTGGTGACAGGAGGGCTATCGTAGCTTCCCAAATCAGAGAAACACAAGGGTTGGCACAGGCCAGGAAGAGGCAGTTGAACGGAAAGGAAAAGCAAAGCAGCCCTTTTGGTTGCACTAGCCATTAGAGCAACGGTGCACCTTGGGAGAGCCAAGCCAAAACTCAGCGAGTTTCAAACCCATGAGATAATCATTGATGGGAATAATGTTAATAATGCTCCCATCGAACAGGTCTGCATTGTTATGTATCCAAAATGCTAGATAGTAAAACTATGGTGTTTAAGATGGTTTAATTAATAAATATCAGCAAGGGACAACTGTTGTTCATTTATGGAATATACACATCCCATCTTCAAATTTAAATGGTGTTAGTACTTTCCCGTGAATGTTGAGAAAGGGAAAGAAGCCCATGACAGTGCAGCGATGACAGGGAAGTACGCATTGGAAGATTTTAAAAATGATGATGGTGAAATTCAGTACAGGAATCGATTAAACCCCTACAGATATTTTTTCAAATACAATCAAATTGCAGTCTAAACCCTCTCCCCAAGACCAATCAAAACCCGAAACCAAAAGGGTGTGAAGCCACAAGGCACTGAAGACAAATGATTCTGTGAGATCAGGCACTATGCTTCTGTTCACTATCCTGAAGCTGTTCCTGCTAATCAGAATATGCAGTTCCTGACTGAAGATAAATATTTTATATAGAAGGAGTTCAGGAATCCATTAACTGCAGGAACAAATTAAATTTTAGAGGTTGTCTTGAATACTTTCTGTTCTATAAAAAACAAACCTTAAAAAAATATTAAAACCAGTCACAAAAACACCCATCAAATTTGACGCAACATACTGCAACAGCTTCAAATTATTAAGTGGATAACAATTTGCTAACAGCTTTACACATTCATAGCCACATATTCTTCTCTACAGTTCTATGTACTTACATCGTTCCACCCTTCAAAAAAAATGGCAAATTGAGAAGTACACAGAGTTCAAGTAGTTTTGTTGATTCTTCAACATTATTAAAAAAAGCTGTGACTACAAAATAAGCTTAAGACACTTTCTTTTCCTTGAGTGATATCTTATTCTTTGAACGCACTTTTTAAAACTAAATATTAGAAATCATCTGCTTTAGTGCTCTGTCAAACAACTTCCCATTGCTCTTTTTGTAAGAAAATTCTCAAGTCACTCCCTGACACAAAAATAATGGTTTAAAGCCTAAACAAATGCATTGTGACCTAATAGTATCCAACATTGCCTTGGCATTACCAGCAATACACTTGATGCTGAAAGTATGGACGTTTGTAGTTCACAAGCATTTCTATTCAAGATAAGGTAAATCAGTCACACACATAGCTCAGTGCTTGAAAAATATCGTTCTGCCCTGATCAGCATCCTTATAATGGCAAACATAACTTTGCATCAAACAACGTTTTCAAATATTTTGTTCCAGAAGGTAATGCTTTGCTCAACTTCCTGTAATCCTACCGTATTCCCTCTAAAAGGTTTTAGGAGGCACAGTTCTGAAAATCCTATGAATCATATAAATCTCGCTATAAATTATACCAGACCCTAAACCCAAGAACATTCAGGAAGTTTAAAGCCAGATGGATTCCATTAGCCTCACCTCCTGTACTCATACCCTACTAAAATTTTACAGAAATACTCCTGAATTGAAGGGTGTCTTGGCTCTGGCTAAATCATACCTTTCAGAGAGGTGTCCAGCCTTGATTAAAACATCAAGAGAGAAGAACATCATTTACCTTAGCAAGGAAGTGCCATACACTCCCATAAATGTTCTGTTTTGCAGATCAAGTTTTCCTATGAGTAAATGAAACACAGCTAAGCTCTCACTATGCATCTACACCCCTGAGGCCAACTCACACTCAGTTTCATATATCTGTGGATGGATGATCATCCTAAAAGCACACTTTACAACTGAGACACAAGTTCTTAGCATATAAAATGCTAAATGTTTAGAAAGACAGGGTGACAGCTAAATCAATCTTTTCAATAGTGCAGCAGGAAGAATATAAAACATCGTTAGTACAGCAAGACAATCTAAGCAGCATGAGAATTTCTGCATGCTGCATACACTATCGTATCTGTAAGAAGCAATACAGTTGTACTTGTCCTTTTCAACACTTGCAGATCAAAAAGTCTACAAAACCCTTAAGAGTGTCTCTCCATGTATCATTTGACATTTATATGCTAGTCATGCTGAAGTCTGTTTTAAAACCATTGTGCAAGAATTACTAAGCACTCATAAGACACTAGCGGACTAAGCACTTTCTTTTTTAGATACAAACCTAGGAACTGAGACAGAATGATAAAATGAGCTACCAAAGGTCACAAAAGCCAATGTCAAAACCAAGATTAGAAGTCTTGAATTTCTGGATCCTAGCCCTGTGCTCAAACCCTTTCCCCACCACTTAAAACATTTATTAACAAATGTAGTAACTTCAGGTGTATGCTTTACTTATACAAGCACAGGTCACAAGGAGACTTCATTAGGAAGACAGGTACTTCCAAAAAAACCTTGGCCTTATCCACAAAAAGATTATTAGAAGTATTTCCACAAATGTCAACCCTTTAATCCTCCCCCCCCAGCCCCAAACCACTCCCCATTCCTGCCCTCCCTGCCCCCTCCGGCACTTACCAAAAAGCAAAGTTGTGGCCAGTTGTGGATAAAATACCTATATGTGTAAATGGAGTAGGGTTCAGACAGATCTTTGGTGATCAGTCTCATGATATCGGGCATCTGCAGCTCTGACTCATATCGGACGTATCGTATCGTTAGGTCCTCCTCGGGCTGAGAGTCCGTTCCCGAGCCTTTCAAACTGCAAGCTGCTGCTAAGGACCTGGAGAGTAGCAGCAAGGACTCCTCCTCCCCTCCTTCGTCCCCCT